GAAAAATAAAGTAAAAAAATACAATAGTACCAGCTATTTTAGTCACGACTCCACTTTAAATTGTATTCGACCACCAAATTTAGTAAATGATCACCAAATCTTGATAGGTTAGGTTAGGTTTTTTTTAAGGGGGGAAAATCATCGAATGACTGCTCCCGCCTGGGTGAGGCGGAAGGGCGTGTCAGACTCTTACTGACTAAAAACCAACGGTTAGAGTGTAGCCTTAGGGGCGCTATGGCGTGAGGACTTAGAAAATTTTTCATCAAAAATGAGAATTCTTATAAGCGGCTGGTTTTTCATTTCTATCTTTTAGTATACCTAAAGATAAGGTGAATATTATCTGGGCACTTTTTATCTAGGGCTTCAGGCTCGCCTGAAAAAGAGCCCTAAAGGTCAGTTGAGGGAGTGTGTGATAACACTTTTTGGGCACCCCAACACATTTGGTTAGGTTAGGTTAGAACTGTGACACTCACAAGGCGCGAGGCGAGCGAGCGTAGCGAGCGGTGCCGCGGTAGTAGCGGCCGCCGAGTGCTGAAAAGGTTTTCGCCAACTGACATTTAGTGCTCATTTACAGGCGAACCTGAAGTCGTAGACAAAAGATGTCCAGATGATTTTCGCTTTATTATTAGGTATACTAAGCGATGGAAATGAAAAACTAGTCATTTATAAGAATTTTCATTTTTGATGAAAATTTTTTTAACTACTAAACCCCTTGCCCTTAAGACGACCCACTGACCAAACCAACCCGTTCCTTCTCCTGCACGTCGAGCCAGAGCGGTTACCCGTTAGGTTCTCCGCGACAGGTTAGGTTAGGTCACGTTTTAAAATGTTGGTTTAATTTTGGTGATCATTTACTATTTTGGGGTTACTCATGATTTACTTGGAGTCATTTTACTTAAATAGGATAGCAAACTTCGGTTATAATTTTACTTTAAAATGCGAGTTTCATTTTGGTGATCATTTACTATTTTTGTCTGCTATTTGTTACTATATCTGGTGGTAAGTTAAACATAAGCCTATTTTTATTGATGTAAAGAGATTATTGACCTTGTAGTTTAAGAATAGGTCCCCGAGTGAAGAACATTTTATGCTCAATATTTTTATTCTTAGGTACTAATGAAAATCTAAGTTGGTTCTATATACAAGTTGGTTCTATATATTAACATATAGACAATAGACAGAGTTTGTTTATTTGTTCGTTTGAATGCGCTAATTTCGGGAACTACTGGTTTGATTTAGACAAATATTTTTGTGTCGGCTTGTCTATTTATCGAGGAATACTTTATTTTAATTATAATTATATTTTTATTATCCGTCTCTTCTTCATGTGATAATATTTTAATATACATATAATCATATATCTCTTCTTCATCTGACTGAACACTTCACCTAGGGTTCTAGAACCCACAAAATTAATAACAAAGTTTCTATACATTTAAGTGGATTACAAGTATGTGTTGCTCTCGTCCGTGCGTCACTGCAGGGGTGCCAACTGAAAATCAGTGTTGGGTGCTCATTGTGCCCAGTTTTATGCGGAGTTGGTGACCCGTTCGGATTGGACATGGCCGCCAACACCGCGCACTTGAATTATTGGCTTGTTTTAGTTTTATAATTTAACTTATATCTTTTAATTTTTCTGTTTTTATACTTTTTTTCTATTTATATGTCTTTTCTGGCGTGCATGTCTTATGCCGAATAAACTTATTTCATTTTATTTCATTTCATTTCATTACGTCGACCAGACTCAAAACGACAATTTGTGGATTACACAAAGATTTGTTTCGTGCGGGAATCGACCCCGCTACACGTTGCGGGCAGCCAGTTGCCGCGCAATATGTACCGGGTGTGTGTCCATTGTAGAAATTGTCGGTCCTTCGGGGTCCCCTGAGGATGAGGACCCTGGGCACAGGCCCCGAGTGTGAGGCACTGGGTTTGAGGCACCTACTTCTAGCTTATCGGTGGGTGTGAACTTACGAAGTACGTATGACCATAGTCCATACGTATGAGTGTTTACTTGGGATTTGTTTTTTAGTTTTTGATGTCGATTTTTTTAAACGTCTCGTCGTGGTCGCAAGAGCGACTGCCGGGCAAGGGTCTCGGGTTCGATTCCCGGGTCGGGCAAAGTACTACTGGTTTTTTTTTAATTCTCAGTAATTAAACGTAGTCTAGAATTCAATTACATGGGACTTATAACATAATTAGTGAAACTGAAAAATGGGTGTTAAATTATACAGTAGCATTAAGTACCGTAATGTGCACCTCTGCCTACCCTTCAGGGATAAGAGGTGTGATGTTATGTTATGTTTTCAAACACAGTTTTATATTTCTATTTGATACTTTTTAGTTTAATACTAAGTTATTTTACTATCAACACACCTAGTAGTAGCTGGAAAGTCCTCATCAATACAAATTAATCAAACTAAACACAAGGTAGTATTAATGTTAACCGTTGAGGAGTTCCCTAATTTATCGTACTACTTCCATTGATATATTAAAGAAGGACCACCAAATTAAAAGTACTCGTAACCGACGAGCATGCATGAAAAGACTTTTGATGAAGTGAAAGAGGTATGTAAATAAGAATCGTAGTTCCTAATTGGCGTTCCATAGTCTCTGCCTACCCCCATAGGAGACAGACGTGAAGTTATGTATGTATGCATGACTTGACTTCTTTGACATGACTTCCATTGACTTATACCTAAAGTCTCTTTAGCAATCTCCATTACCACACGTCACAAAACATTACACAAAACGTACATATAGGTATATTATACTTGTACTTAGGTCTATCTGACTCGCTCAAGTCGTAAAACAACAATAATGACCACTATGATTAGATAGAGATAGAAATTTAAACATGCAATGGTCAGAGAGTATTGCCTGATATGTAAAATTTTATACCCATAAAAATGTTTTTACCCATTAAAAATAGTAACAAAAAAACAATTACACCTAATGTAATTGTTTTTTTTTATTTATTTATGAAAAAAGAATATGGCGGTCTAAGCGTCGTCGTCGCGAAATGTTCAAAAAAAAAAAAATTTCTATTATAGATAAAAGACCTCGCTAGTGGTTCACTGACTGTTTCTGGTGTTCGATCAACCGTGCCTGACTTGGTGATAGCAAACAAAACTGCAAGTTCTGTGGTTCGATAAATAGCTGGCCGGCCGGCCACGCCCCGTCGTTGGTGAAGTTCCCGTCAACTCCTGATCTGCATCCAGGTTAGTTTATGCATTCCCTACTTGATGGTCACAGAATTTCGTCAAGACTAGATTCAGGTCAATGCAGTGGCTACTCCAGCGAGGTTCAACCATTACTGTTGCTGTTACCTAGCTTAACTAAAATCTATAAACTAAAATAAATTAATAAAAGTAAATTTGGACTATCAATTGGTAAGCATTAAAATATAGATTTAAAAAAGATCTAATAGTAATACTATCATTATGTATTAATTCCTACTTTATTTTATTACTTACTTATCGTCATCTACAGGTAACATACATAACTAGTAACACTGTTACATATATATTACTAGCTTTTACCCGCGGCTTCGCTCGCGTCACAAAAGGATAAAAAGTAGCCTATGTGACATATACCAATACACACAGCGCCATCTATACCAATAATTTCGTTTTCCCTCGAGAATATAAAATTTTTCCGGGATAATAAGTACCCTATTATTTAATCCAGACTTCTAACTTTACGTCTGCAAAAAATCAAAGCAATCGGTTTAGTAGTTACGGTGTGAAAATGGAACAAACAAACAAACTCACTTTCCGATTTATAATATTAGTAAAGAAGTAAGGATGTGCACTCCTCGAGTTAACCATGTAACTTGTTTCATAATTTACTTAATCTACCATTAATATGTGATACTCAAAAAAATATCTTGTGGTAACAGTGCAATGAAATTGAGATTGAAATTAATATTGATTGTATTTAAAAATTTAGACTTCTACTTAAATTAATACGTAAACAAGAATTTTTTTTGTGAAAAGTAATTCATGCTAGCTAAGGAGAAGGCGGGACGCGTGAAGCAGCGAAGCGCTGCCTCCTCGCAACCCATCTATCGCGAAGGACATTCTGGGCGTCGGGGATCGCGGGACGATCTCCGGCCACCGTAAGCGCGGGCCTGCGGAGGGCGAACATGGGTGGCTCCCCGTCCGACCAGAACCAGACCCGAGCGTACGGCGCGTCCCGTTCCGCGCGCGCCTCAAAGAGCCACCAGACCACCACGGATGGGGCCCAATAGAGTTGATGCCGATTCGGAGTCGCGGAAAACCTAACGGGTTACCGGGGCTCCGGCTCGAAGTGCAGGTGAAGGAACGGGGTATTTTTTAGTCAGTCAGAGTCTGACACTCCCTACACTGGCGGGAGCAGTCATTCGATGTCTTTCCCGCCTTTAAAAAAAGCCGCAAGCAAACATGCAAGAAATTTTGGAAACTGACGTTCCAAGATAGAGAGATTAGAGAGAGCGTCACCATGTGGTGACGCTCTATCTAACCAAAGGGGTGCAATAATATTTTCTAAATTGGTTTTATAGAAATAATGTTAATAATATCTTAATATGAGTATTTATTTATTGTTTTCATATTAAATTCTAAAATAACAATAAAAATGGTAACAAAAATAATGACTAAAAAGCAATAAAAATATTAAGAACTCAAAAACTATACCAAAAAATAAAAAATTTGCGAATATTATAAATTACGCTACAATTCAAGAACTCTGCGTATACCGAAACGTAAAACAGAACGTTTCTAAGGATTAGTTCCCAAACCATTCACAACTATTTTGTCTTGGCTTGGCAGCACTTTAGCTTGTGACCCGCCCGCCATTTTAGTCATCGCTGATTGGATAGGGGCTTCGTGTCGAGAGTTGTTTGTTTTTACGCCACTTCCGCTTACGTTCAATTGGCTACCCTGAATACTAAAACGGCACGGCAGCGGCGCTGCCATCTTTGTATTTAGCGTTTTGGCTTGGCGCCTTTCCTGTGTTGGTTATTCACTGTCTGTAGTGGTCATAGTGTTACACGTTTCAAAATGGTGAGTTTTGCAAGATTTTGTGAAATATAGTCATCGTTATAGTGATTTTATAGTGTAATTTGGTGGACAGTAGTGTTATTTACTTACTGGCGAAGTTTCAACTCCGAACAAGAAAAATTAATAGGTTTTTTCATCAATTTTAGGCTGGCGGTAAAGCGGGTAAAGATTCTGGTAAGGCTAAGGCCAAAGCAGTATCCAGATCGGCAAGAGCTGGACTTCAGGTAAGTTAATTAGTTATCATAATTTAAATTAGGATTTTTAGTGATATTTACATACTTCGTTTTGTACGTTATCTCCCATTCAATTAATTGAATAATATGAATGACCTCTCCATCAGTATGGCGGCGACCATTACACTGTAGAGAAATAATCAATACCTACTGTGGGAGTATAATATAAAATGTAATTTCAGTTTCCCGTGGGAAGGATTCACAGACATCTCAAAAATAGGACTACGAGTCATGGACGTGTTGGAGCAACAGCAGCAGTGTATTCTGCAGCTATTCTTGAATATCTTACAGCCGAGGTAAGCTTTGCGACGCCCTGTCAATATGGCGGCATAACATACTGCGTTATAGTAATTTACGTACATTTTTTATTATAATCCCGAATAAAAGAGTAGTGTCTGTAGAATAATATAGTGCATCGTTGTATTTAAGTTAGTATTTCCGATTTATCACGGTTTTTTAATTTTTGCTGTGCATATAATTATGACAAGGTATTTTTTGTTTTTGGCGGGAAATTGATGTAGTGTTGTAATTTACATTCAGTCTGAACAAACTTTATTCTAATAAAGTCATGTTTTAATAATTAATATCATTGTTTTCATATTAAGGCGCCACTAAAATACACTGATCCATTCACTAGCTACCTATGTAATTGTTTTATCAATTTCAGGTTCTGGAGTTGGCGGGAAATGCATCTAAAGATCTTAAGGTGAAGCGTATCACACCGCGTCATTTGCAGCTGGCCATCCGAGGAGACGAGGAACTCGATAGTTTGATAAAGGCAACAATCGCTGGTGGCGGTGTCATCCCTCACATACACAAATCGCTGATTGGCAAGAAAGGCGGTCCTGGCGCACCCGTTTAAAAATAGGTAAAAAATCGTGTATATTATTTATAAATATTTAATTATTTGATTGAATAACTTAACTCGAATGTGTTGTAGTGCAGATTAGGTTGACAGGAAACAAAAATAAAATCTCCTTGCTTAACAGATTAAACATGCTTTGCCACATGTTTGTGCTTAGCCACTGCACAATCGTAGATATTTCTAGTTATGAACACCTAACACTTCAATATTGAGCATGTTCAGGGTGTGCATGATTATGCTCTCAAGCTGGTTGAAATGAAATATCCATTGGTAGCTTGTGTCTGACACCAGATTCTGAAGTGTCAGTTTATAAAACTGTACTCGATAAACTAAGGTTAAGAACATGATGAAACTGTATTCCCAACAAAAGATACACTGATGCTGATGACATACTAAAAATTAAGCAAGCTTTGTGTTTCTTAAATTGAGTGTGTAATGTGATTCCCTATATTTAAGCTGTCAAACACCAAGCAGTCACTGGTGACCGCAACCTATTGTTCTTTAATTGTGTCAATAGTACTCAAAGAGTTAATTAGGTATAGGGAGTCACATTATGTTAATCTAATTGATCAATTAAATTAAATACTATGAAAACTCAAGAAAATTTATGTAAAAAAATAATCCAACATCAGAAATCTAAATCATGACAAAACAACACAATACAACATAACTAAAAGGAAACAAAATTAGGACAGACAACTGTAAAATAAGATCAAAGGTAATATACCTGATTGAAATAATAATACAAAACAAAATGAATTCAAAATTAAATTTATTTCTTCCAGTGGGTACTAACAAACAATACTCTTTAATTTGAAAACATTATTTTGCTTCATTCTTAAAGAAAAGTTTTGGATACCTGGGATTTTAGGCTCTTTATGGTGTCTATTGTAATGAAATATTATATTATTTAATAAATGTTATTAAATTAATATCCTCAAGCAGATATATAATAATATTTACTAAGAAATAAGTGAAAAGGAACAGAAACATAACATTTAATAGAGAAAACTGTCGTAAAAAGGGAAACAATTTTATTTTCTTATGAAGTATTTTGAATCATGTAAATGTCAACTATAAAGAACTCTTTTTATGGTTTGTTTACAAATAGTTAACTACCTAAATAGACGGAGTATAGGATCAGTTACAATTGGGTTATTAATGCACTAGCTACTATACAACCACTGCTTGGCTCCTATTGACTATAGCATGATGATTCATCCTTCGTCGATAAAAGGATAGCCCATTTACATTCCAACACAAAAATAACTATTATATTTGAACCTGTGGTACTGGAGTACATGTACCACTAATATTAATCCAGGAAACTGACTACTAACACAAACTGACTGACATTAGTTGAGGATTTGCCTTACAGTTCTCTATTGGCTGTCAAAGAAATTTAAATTCTATCAATAACTAGCTTCTGCCCGCGACTTCGTACGCGTAATCCCATTTTTTCCCGTCCCCGTTCGTGAATTTCGGTAAAAAGTAAAAAAAATGTTGGTTAAAAAGTATCCTATGTCGGTCTCCTGGCTCTAAGCTACCTCCCTACCAATTTTCAGCCAAATCTGTTCTACCGTTCTTGAGTTATAAGTGGTGTAACTAACACGACTTTCTTTTATATATTATATAGATTTGTTACTTGTTTAGGTCAGTGTCTCCTAAAGATAAATACATAACATATATCTTATTAAGATTTAGATTTTTATTAAAAGCGAACTATAAATTGTCAGATAATGCTGTTAACCCACTAGTTAGATTTTAGGTAATGAAAACGACTATTTAGTTCATAAAAGAATTACTTAAATAAATAGAATTAAAGTATGTAAATGGAGGGCTGGTATGGCTTCATTTTTTAGAAAAACCTAATTGTCTTGTATTTTGCAATATGAGGTTATTTTTAAATGTTTCATTATTTACAGGTTAACTACAATACCACCTTGCTGCATTTGACTCCGGACATATTTTCTATGAAACTCAGCTGATTGACAAATAGTTTCATAAAAGTTAGTGACATTAACAGTGGAGTGTTTCCAGGGAACTGTTGTGTCCGGACTAAATCGTTTAGTAGTTTATAAGTACTAGAAATATTTTAGTATTAAGAAGATTTAATATGATTGTTTGTGGGACATGATATTTTTCTAACATGATTGTTTGATTGATGAACAACTTATTAAAATTATTTGCTATGTACCAGTTAAACCAGATGTCTGCTATTGTCTCAGAAGCTGGTGCATCTTGATTTTTAGTTAACATTTTAGCAAGTTCTTTATGAATGTAAATGACGAATTGTAATTTGGTATGAAAGAAGTGTTACAAGTTGTACGAAATGTATTTTGATCTTTGAAATATATTGACAAAACACCTGTGCCATTTTTTTAATTAAAAATTTACGATAGGTACCTATTTACTCCTAGATAGTATTTTTAATTGCGCAAAAAGCACCTCTGAAACGTGCGTAGATGCCAGCTGGATGTAAACAAAGTATATGACAATGATTTGATTTTCTTTACAACTGGTAGATGTTGTTATAAACGTAATAGAGCCTTTGATTCCAAATTGGACTTTTTGCCAACTTAGAAATTACTGTCAATAGACAATGTTTTTTTTTCTTTGGCAACCGAGGCACCACAACAATTTTAGACTATATACCTACCCTGCCAGTGATGAACAATATTAGGCCTATGAAATTGCCGTTCTACAATACTAGTCATTTCAAATCAAAATCATTTTGTTTGGCTAAGAACGCTAATTAAATTATTTTTTATAAAAAAAACAATTTTTTTACTAGAGTTATTGATTAGTGTTACATTTTCATCGCGTTTCAATCTTTTTCGACATGGATATGTTGAGAATTCGAGTAATTATAGAATCCGAGTAGGTACCGTCGTCGCAGTAACGCGGCATAAGTGGCACGCAACATCAACGTTTACGGAGCTATAAACCATATAGATGTAATAGGTAATAAATACCGTTATCATGTCACTGCTATAAACCAACGCACCACCTGTTATTGGTTTGCTCGCTGTTCTGGAAATTTCGGCCTTAAAACAACTTCGCCCGAAAACAGGTCGACAATGACGAATTAAAGGCGATTGTGGAAGCTGATCATACACAATCTACAGCTGAATTAGCAGCAGCTTTCGACGTTAGCGTCGAAGATCATACACAATCTACGGCTGAATTAACAGCAGCTTTCGACGTTAGCGTCGAAACAATAGGTATTGGTCCATTTGCGTCACATTGGCAAGGTAAAAAAGCTTAACAAATTGCCGAACTTAATGATCGCCAGCGCGAATTTCGCGTAGAGACGTGCCTTGCACGACTCAACAGACACACAAATGAAGGAATTGAAACGGCATTATTACCTGCGATCGAAAATAGATTCTGTTTAATAACCGCAAGCGCTCAGCAAATTGGTTGGCTCCTTGTTCAGCACCTAAACAATGCCCTTAATGATGCCCCTAGAAATGTGATGGACACTGGTGATTCTTACCATACGTAGTGAGCATATTACAGATGTGTACTGTGAAGAACTGAACACAATGATGAAGAAGCTGGCACATCTGTAACCAGCATTGGTCAATAGCTCGTCTCCGCTGCTCCTCTACGACACCACGCGACCTCATACTGCACAGCAGACGGTCTCGAAATTGCAAAAACTGGAGTTTCAAGCTCTCCGTCATCCACTAGACCTTGCGCCTTCAGCCCACCTCCTACTTTTTCCAGAATTTGGATAAGTTCTTAACGGGGAAAAAATTAATACCCGAAAGGCAGTACAATACAATATACCTTTGAAGAATTTATTAATAACAAATTTATGTTACCTCTTGTCCAGGTGATTTCTATAAGGGCGTCAATAAAATCAAACAAAAGATCATTTAAATTTTTCATACATAACGGCAATTTCATAGGTGATGACCACCAATTCACGGCTATTCACGGAATCAGTAGATGGGATTAATAGGATACAACGTGAAACGAATTTAGGTTCACATTTGTGCATTGACAACAACACCGAGCCGGTACGGGCGGAGGCATCACGGAAAAATTACAATAACAACAGTGCGAGGTGCTCGGGACACACAGCCGCAGCGGCCGCCCAACCACTGTCGGAAACAGAAGCCAACAAAACGCTTGCTCAGATTGTTAATGAGGGAGAGTGGAACTTGGTACAGAAACAGAAGAAGAAAATTAAAAACCGATTTGTCGGAAATATAGGAAAAGCTGTAACAGAATCTAAGAGTAAATTTAAGGCAACCAATGAACAAGTAGTCTTGTATGTCTATCATGTGGATAAACAAGTGACACAGGATGACATCGCATACTATGTTAAAGAAAAGGCAGACATCTCTGTGAATATTGAGAAAATGATAATGAAGGTACCTAAGAGTTATGATGCATATAAGATCTCGATTCCTAAAGTCAAATATGACATTTTCATGAGAGATGATTTTTGGCCTGAAGGTATATCCTATCGCAGATTTATAGACTTTTCTAAAAAGAAAGTGAATAATGCCAACAAGTAATATGGGTAGTACAACTTTAGTAAGCTTTAATTGTAAATGTGTGAAAAGATCTATTGACTGTGTGAGGCGTCTGTGTGTAGCGGCGGACGTTATCGCATTGCAAGAAACCTGGCTTTTGCCGCATGACATCGCCTTTCTAGGGCAAATCAGCGATGATTTTGCATTTACGGGCAATTCGGCAGTCGATACTTCGGCGGGGGTACTTCGGGGAAGACCTTTTGGCGGCCTAGCATTATTGTGGAGGAAGAGTATGTTTCCATCTGTCACAGTAGTTAACTGTGATAACGTGCGCCTTCTAGCGGTCAAGATAATGACACAGGATCGCTCCATACTTATTTTCTCGGTGTATATGCCAACGAACTCAAGCGATAACATTACTGAGTTTACGGACTGTCTTAGTGAAATAAGTGCAATAGTGGAAAGTCAAAATGTGCAATCAGTGATCATCCTCGGTGATTTTAATGCTCATCCTGGTGAGCTATTCGGTACTGAATTGATAAGGTTCTGTGCGGAACAAAGTTGGACCTGTGCGGACTTGGACTTACTACCACCAAGTACGTACACTTATGTGAGTGACGCGCACGGTTGCCACCGCTGGCTTGACCACTGTGTAGTGACGGACGCTGCCAAGCGTATAATAGTCAGTGCAAGTATACTGTATGACACGTACTGGTCGGACCATATGCCTATGCAATTAAAATGTAATTTTAATTTAATAAGACCTACAATTGTAACACCTATCTTTGTCAAAAAGGGTATAATGTGGGGTGAACGGAACCCTGGTCAAATTGATAATTACAAAATCTGTTGTAACATTAAGTTAAGGGAAATTGATTTTCCAACAGAATTTGTAGATTGTGCTAACAGGTTCTGTGCGAATGTTCGTCACAAAATGATATTAGATGAAATGTACAATAAAATTGTGTGTATACTTACCGAAGCTGCCCAACATCCTAGTAGGGGGTGCAAAACGGGGAACAGGGGGTAAACGTGTTGTAGGTTGGAATAGGCATGTTAAGCAGGCTCACGCGAATGCCCGGCTTGCTTTTCAAGTCTGGAGTGTAGCTGGTAAACCAACTTCTGGTCATTTGTATAGACACATGTACGATACGAGAAAAATGTTTAAATCGAAGTTAAGATGGTGTCAGAACAACCAAAACCAAATAAAAATGGATATTCTAGCCGAAAATCACAAATCCAAAGACTTTTCAAGGTTCTGGAAAAACACCAACAGGTTGAATCCCAGGCCGGGTGAACCCGTGAGTGTGGCGGGGCAACATGAACCTACAGCTATAGCTAATTTGTTTGTTAAACATTTTAAAGTCGAGTCCCCGCTTGGTCTATCATCGCAGGCAGTCGATGCTGAGGATTCTTTTACGGACTTAAATGTCAGGTTTACAAAGAAAGATGTTGCTTCCGTTATAAAAAACATGGTTAGGGGGAAATCGCCGGGGCATGACAACCTCAGCATCGAGCACCTGCGATATGCGGGAGTTCATCTACCCAGGGTGCTGGCGATGTTCTTCTCGCTCTGTCTAAGCCACGCTCATCTGCCAAGCGATCTAATGAAAACTATAATTGTACCTATTTTAAAGAATAAGACTGGAGACACGTCAGATCTAGAAAATTATAGGCCTATATCTCTTGCTACTATCATGGCTAAGGTGCTGGACGGTTTGCTTGATAGGCATAATTATGTCAACCCGTATAGATTTGCATGACGCGCAGTTTGGTTTCCGACCAGGACTTTCCACAGAAAGTGCCATACTGTCTCTCAAGCATACTGTTCAGTATTATACGTCTAGGAAGACGCCTGTTAATGCGTGTTTCCTGGACCTTTCCAAAGCTTTTGATCTGGTGTCGTATGACTTGCTGTGGCAAAAATTGTTAAATGATACAACGGTGGATAGGGAAGTTATATCAATGCTAAGATATTGGTATTGGAATCAAATCAATTGTGTTAGGTGGGCCGGCTCGTTATCGGACGAGTATGGGCTGGAGTGTGGAATGAGACAGGGCGGATTGACCTCGCCTCGCCTCTTCAGTCTGTACATAAACCGGTTGATCGCCGAGCTCAGCAGCACCTATCAAGGTTGTTATATAGATGGAACATGTGTCAACAATATTAGTTATGCAGATGATATGGTGCTGCTGAGCCCATCGATCAGCTCAATGATGAACCTGCTAAATATTTGTGAAAAGTATGCAGAGGCCCATGGCTCAGATACAATGTAAGGAAAAGTGAAGTATTGGTATTTAAGGCAGGCACTAAAACGTACCCGATTGCAACACAGCTGAAACTTTGCGGAAGTCCTCTAAAGCAAGTCACATCTTTCAAGTATCTGGGCCACTGGGTTTCCGAAGATCTAAGCGACGGCTTAGACATAGAGCGTGAGCGCAGGGCGTTGGCTGTCCGCTGC